AGCAGGAACCCACCCATGTTCATTTGGGATGCACACATTTTCCTAACTCTGTCAAGCACATTCAAAATAACCCATAGATGAAAAAAGCCATAGATGGAAAAAAACTTGTCCCTTGTTTCCATTCACCTTGCTCTTTACTCAGTTCTTTTCCTAATGAAATGTCTAAGAGGTGTAGTGCTCTCCCTGGAGTCCCCAGAACACCCTGGAGTTGTGCGGCCAGGCTGCTCGTCAGATGAAAGCCTCTGCAGGCCACCTCTTCTGCGACCAGTGCCACCGCCCGCTAACACATGGGGGTGCCTCCCCGTCCTTCTCCGCAGCCGCCCATTCCCGGCCTCTCCCAGCAGGCGAGGCCGGTGCCCGCGTTTCCCCCCGGAGTGCCCTCTGCCCTGCTCCCGGTGCCGCTCCCGGTCGTGCTCCGGCCCCGCGGGGCTTGGGACCCGCGGCAGCGGCGCCCTCTCGTGGCGGCGGCGGAGCGGCGGGAGAAGCGGCACAAAAGAATAAAGGGATGTTAAATGTACATAGGCATGTGTACACTAGTGAGCGTAGGAAACAAAATCAGATATTAATACCTCTTGTCCCAGTGCATATTCCGTTCATTTACTGGATGTTTTTCTAGGAAGAATGTCAAACCCTTGCTCGCTCTTCTCCTTCCTGTCCCCTCAAATTAGCAGTATTACAGAACAGGGTCTCTGCTTCGTTTGAATGCAGTCTCTCACTTTACTGCCTAACTGCAGTCCACTTTCGTTTCAAAGAGAAAAAAATGCCAATAAAGTTGTGCTAATACTTATCATGGAAAAACATCCTTTATTCTTTACGATAATTACTATTTAATGTGGGGGTTTTTCTGCTAAGCGTTGACTGACAGATGAACAGAATATACTACATATACTTCTAAATTGCAAGAATAAACACTACTGAACCTATTGGTTCATCTAAGAGTCCCTTCCTGATGTTTTTGCTATCAGAAAACTCTCCAATGAACCATTCTCATGACCAAGGACTATGGCCCAAGCCTTCAGAAAACATTTAAACATGAACTCACACAAAATCAAATGCCTCAACAGGAAAAACATATTTCTTCACTTGCTTTCCAACAGAGAGGTAACACAGGATACACTTAACTCAGAAGTTGGTTTTTGACAGAGGCCAGCATTATATTTCCAAGAAAAATTCTAATAATATTGGGCAAATATAAGGAACAAACATCTAGGAGTATAACAACAACTTCTGGCAATGTAAAATCTTGAGCCTTCACAAGTCAGAGGTTGCCACTGGACTATTGTGTCTAAATGCACCAGTAGACCAACCAGTCATGAGGTTCTCCAAGTATTTTCATACTTTCGGGTTTTCTCAGCATCCTGTGGCAAAGAGTTCCATGCTGTTTCCTTTTTCTTTTTTTAACTTACTGTCTGATAGGGAAAAAAAAAAAGGGCAACTCCTGGTATAATGAAAAACAGTGAGTAACTGTTCTATTTCACCAAGACACACTCAAAATGGTACGAATGTCTACCACAATCACTTACTCCTAATCCAGCTGTTTTCCAGAAGGAAAACAGTGTCTTCCTCCTATTTAGTGCCTCCCCATATCTAAGTCATTCCATGTCTCTACTGGTCTACTTGGCTGCTATTTGCCTTTTTTGATTCTACTATTATCTTTCTGAAGTTATACACTGATGTAGTGAGATTTTCTGTTTTGTCCTTTGAAAATTTCATGACAATGCCTAACACCATTTGCCTTCTTGACAGTCGTGGAGCCAGAATGCTGACTGCAGCAAACCATCAGGTCCCTTTTCTGGTGGCAACACTAGCTGAGAGTAAAACAATGTATTCAACAGAGTTAGCATTGTTCCCCACTCTCCAGCATTCTTTTGCACCTATCGGCACAAAGTCATCTGCACATTTTATCAGTCAATGTCTCCCTATGAGATCTTTATGTGATTCCCAGCTATTCATTTTAGACAGATAAATCTGTATTAGCAGAAATGTTGTTACTTCACTATTCACTATTTTGCCTGATCAGGAAACACTGTCTGTAAGACTCCATCAGTAGCCCTCTTAACTCTGGAGCCTAACCATTAATTCTTAATTTTCCTTCTGTCTTTTAATGAACATGTAGTGTGTGAGAAGAGTGTCTTTAAGACTTCTCAGTGAAGACTGTTTTTAACAGCATTTTGAAAAGACAAGCATGTTGAATTAACCAGCATTTTCACTGACTCCTTTCTAATAAATGTGTGAGGCATTGCCTTCCCTGGTAAAATGAAAATAAACTTCTTCATCTCTTCCTTACTGTATCATTCATTCCTATTTACCCACTAACCTACTCTTTAATAAAATTTCTGCCAAAGAACTTCCTTTTGCTTCAAGGACTTTTTAAATAATTGATGTCATATGTGCTAAATTTCATTCCTCTCCAGTTAGTAACTCAGCAATGTCTTACTTGTGTTATTTTGAAGTCTTGACTGAATACCATATGGTCACAATGCTGATAATTTCTCTAATTAATATCTTTTATTGAAGCTGTGGTTCACCAGTAAAGCAAATCCAGTGCTAGGGATACTAGTATCAGACCAAAAACATAACAGTCACAGGAATGCCCGTCCGAATGTGTTCAGAGAATTTTGTCTGATTGGCTTTGCACTGGCAGTCTCTGTTCATTTGTCTTTCGACATCCTGTATAAAATCAGCATAAAGTCCAAGTTATTCATCCTTACTAAATCAATAGAAATGCATTCACCTCCCCACATTTGAACCAGATGAAATTTGTACTGATGGATGATTTGCTAGTGCGCACTGATGAAAGAACATCAGCCTCACACCTCTAAATGAAGTTAATTTCCTTATGAGATACACTTACAAAGCTCAAATCTCTGTTTTACATGGTTCAAAAGCGATTACGTCAGTTCATGGGAGAACACTTATCGGGACTCACTGCAGATCACTGGAATCTGCTACTATGTAATGTTGAAGTGTCTCAGTATGCTAGACCTAGTTTATTCTTCTTCAGGCATGTGCTAATGTTCACAGTTGGATTCAGACACTAAGCAAGAGAGACTTAATTTGATCTACTACTACCATTCCTATGTGGTCTTCAAGTTTAACTTGTCCCAAAAAAATCATTTTTACTCCAACAGACTATTCCAGTTTTGCTGGTTTATACCTCATCTCCCAATTATACCTCATCTCCCTCCACATTAGAATACATAAGAACTTCCTACAGACATTAGACCACCTTCTCTGTTACTTTACGGTTCTCTCCAAGAAGCAAAACTTAGTGGGAAAAGAGAGATCAAAGAGACCGAAGACGAATATAAGGAGTTAATTTACAAAGGCCAGAACAAGAAAGGTAGTGCTAGTCAAAATCCCCTGCTTTTTAGTCCTCTATGCCTTGGACAGCCATGGTAACACATAGTTACTCTAAGATCAAATTCTTCTGGATCCCTAATATATATTTGTATTTATGTGTGCATGTATATATATGTATATATATATATATATATGTATATATATATATATATATATACACAAACATTTTTTTATGTATCTACACACAGAATTAAGATAATGTCCACATGAATACAGATAAGCAAAACACTTGTAGGTGGAATCAAAGACTGAGAGGTTATTGATTAGTAACATACTGATTCCTGATGTTTCTGATAGGCAGAGAAAAACCTAACTTCAAGTATCTCAGTTTGGGATGTTTGTTTGTTGGTTGTTGTTGTTGTTTTGTGTTTTTTTAAGAAACCTGTGGTATTTCAAATTTGTCTTTGAAAAGCTTTTATCCTTTTCTCTTTACACAGAAGAAATTACCTCACAATAGAATTCCAAGTAGTCACACTGACTGAATATACATGCAGTCATAATGCTGTTGGAATGTACTGAACATACCAAAATAGAACACGTACTTAGAAAGTCCTTCATAGGCGAAAAGCGCCTCTCTATATAACACCAAACCCCAAATATCTGAAAGGTTAGAAATCCAGGCCTAAGGCTGTCCTAAACCACTGCAGCACTGTAGCACCTTGCGTCAGCAATGTAGGAGGGAAAAATATCACATCCCATACACATACATATGCATGTTACATATGCACAGATCTCAAAAGAGTTCATTCCAATACAATAAGATAAGGGGAAAGGGGTTTATACTGTTACATCTATCTCAAATAGGTATCTCATATATGATGATGAAAATACCTGTGGTGTAGCTCACTATGCATTGTTGCTGTTCCTTGGCACAATCATAATTAGCCAAGTTGCCAAAAGAAGTAAATAAATGAATCACTAATAGGATTCAAGTGTGCATTTATATATATTTGCTCTGTTTGGGGTGCAGGGAGAGAAAAAGAGATAAATCTGTATAAGAAACATCACTTAAACAGAACCTACAGAAAGCCTGTGCCATTCAAATGGCCTGTGAAGTCACTACAGTCTAGGGGAAAGAGAAACAACTGACAAATTAGTGATTTACAATAAGGTTGTTTTTTTAAAAGCTAATTTTGGAGTAAGAAAATACCATATCACTGTAACACTTTCAAAAGTAATCTTTTCTGTGTAACAGGTTTTAAAAAAAGAAAGTCTTACTGCAAGGTTTTCCCTACTTTTACTTCACTTGAGAAAGAACAAGGAAAAGAAAAAACTGAACTATTTCCCAACTTTTATCTGCCACATACATAGTTCTAAAGAAACACAGAAAATTCAACCTACAAACTTAATACAGCCTGCAATAACTCATTTTTGGCCTTGGTAAGCATTAATTATTACCACCATTTGAAAAATGTATTGTAATTTTTCATACATGAAAGAATTTACTGCATCTTCCTCAACAGGTCGATCAAATGTTCTGATAAAAAAGCAGTGGCTTGCAATGTGTAATGTGCATGACAAATTATCAAAAGGGACACATGCTTTAGAACTCACAAGAACACACTGGAAAACATGCCAACAGTATGCTCTGTAGTTTTTGAGTCAGAATTATGGAGCCAAATGAAAGATAAACTTACTTTTTTTCTGATACATTTTTTGTGATGCAGATGGACGGGTAGGACTTAATACTGGTGGAGTGGTCATCCTCTCTATGTTGTTAAAGGATGCATCTGTAGACCACAAAGTCACCTCCTCTGCAGTGGCAAACAGCTGGGTGTTGTCTTCAGAGCCCTCTGACAAAGCAGCATCATTTGTAGGCTGATGACTGAGCACTGTAGCTTGAGTGGGGAGACCAAATGAATTTTCCTGGAAAGACTCTCTAAACATGTTTGAGTTCTTGTTCATTTGGTCAACATGGGATAAAAGCGTGGTGGTCCAAGAAGAGGGCTGTGTGCTGAGATCCATTGTGGGATCAGTCTTGGAACTGTTTTCAACCATGTTTGGCAAAAGATCATCATATGTTTCAAAGTCACCATTAACTGTGATGACCTCAGTTCCATTTGAATAAAAGCATGTTTTTTCTAACACCCCTAGAAGAAAGGAAAAAAGCACCAAAATTACCATCCATCACCTGGAAGAACAAGTGTTACCAATCTGTTTTGGCAGGTTAATAATAAATATAATGACACAGATTTAAAAGTAACATTTATTTCCAAGTTAAAGATAACTAAATTTAAGAATGTAGCAAGAAAATAACAGTAGCTCATAAAACAAAAGCTATGGCTACTGTAGGATAAATACAGAAACAAATGGTTCAAATATTTTAACCTTATAGTAATTTACTTATAGAACTCTTACATGTTTAAAACTATAGAGTGCAATTTCAAGTAGCTCTAATATGCTTTCATTCTGTTATAGTGTTAACAAGACTGACAATACTATTTTTTTCTCTTTTTAAATTGAATCATCTCTTGTGTTCATGGTATCAACATCTTCAGAAATCTAATTCTGAAGCTTCAAGGGAACCAATACATTTTTAATATATTTTATATTCACTAACTTTTAAAATGGAAAGAGATACTGTTTTCTCTATATAAGATTATGTAATTTAACTACCACTGGTAAACAAAGATCCCTGACTGCGAGTAAATCTTTATGTCGAAATTCTACTGGAAGAACCAAGGGGAACTTTACATATATATACACACATTAAGGTTTCTGTTTTTCCACCAGCAAATATTTCAAATAATTCAAATAATTCATTGGGATTTGGAGGAATTTACTGTGTGTATTTTACAGAAGCAACTAAAAATCTCCCACCTGCAAATTATTTCAGCAGCAAGTTTTTTTGTTTGAGTCCTCTGGTCAGGCCAAACAGGAAGAATGAATGTGTTGCAGTTTCACAGATAAGGACCACTATTAATATGATTTGCTAAAGCCTAAGGAATTGTGAGTGGTTGTGTTCAGAAATTGTGCTTACTTAAATGTAGCTTTTTTTGGATGCTTTGTTTCCAAATAATTTCTGTAATTCTGTAATTTCCTTGAATTTCTGTAATTCAGAAGCCTACTTTGTTTCAAGTTTCAAACTTCACTAGATTTTTTTGCAGTTTTCAAAAAGTTAAAACAAGCTTTTTTAACTCCTTTGACAAAGTGCATAGTAGCTGAAGGTATTTTTTCACATTTTCTCTGCTCCTCCCTGGACTCATCTCTTCTCCTCCACTCAGCATAAAAATAGAGAAAGTCTCTAAAACATTGGTCCGAAAGAGCTATTAATAATGATTTAAAATAAAAGTTAAAATGATTAGCTATTTCTATATCACTGGGTAAAATAGCAGACAATACATTTCAAGATAGGTAAACTCTTGAAAGAAATTTTAAAAACCCCTTTGGACAAATAAATACTGTGAAGCAAAATATTGAAACTACTAACTGGATTCTGTGCTCTCCTCACTCAGACTTATTTTATTCATTTTTTGGAACTACAAATAATAGCTATGTCTATCACTACCTATAAGGTCATCTACTTCTTTCACTGAGATCCCCAAAGGCTTGTTTGCTTCTTCAACTCATCTTTCCAACAACGGCATTTTTTGTTCTATTTTCGCAGTTTCCTAGTGATAACAATTTTTCTTGACAGGTGGACAACACAATGAACCTCTTCTACACAAAAGGCCTTCCTAATTGTATCATCTCAGCTGACAAAACTAAGCCAAGCAGTTCTACTAAAATGAACTTTTTCTGATGTTTATTCTGTGAAGGATCTTCATTCCCACCAGGGCTGACAGACTAAGAGATATTTAAAATACTATTTTTGCAAAATGCATAAATGCCTAACATTGTGCATAGATAAAAGGGTATGCTGCTTGCCTGAAAGGCAGGCTTATTTGATATGGTCCTGCAATGTAATCATATGCCCAAAAATTACATCTGGACTGGAAAAGTCTGACATAGATGAAACCACTCTTTATGTGTATCATAACACTTGTTCTGATTTCTATAGAAAACAACAGACAAAGCATTAGTTGTGGATGGGTATTAGCAGGAGGTAGAAGAAGACCATGTAAGTATGATTTGAGGACACTCATGTGAAGGGATGGGAGGAATGCGACACCTACCATGGAATGCATTTATCACTATAAAATAAATATAACTGATTTTCCTTTATGAGACTATAACTATAAAGCATTCTGTTTTCCCAGATAAATAACTGCAATGAGAAGCAATTATGGTTCAATCAAAAAAAAATTAATTTGGTATAATGCTTACCAGCTATGAAGGACTTTTTAAAAACAATGTTTCAAGTAGTTTAGAACACTTCCTCTCTGCAAGGATAAGAATGAAATGCCAGAGGTTTTTCATTCTAACAAATATGCTAATTTACACCTTTGTAATATTTGCATACTAGTCATTACTTAAGGATTTTTTCAGGTTTTTTTCAGCGAAATGAGACATAGACTAGAGATTCTAAAACAATTTTAAGAGGATTGTACATCTCTCCATTTTCAAGAAACATTTAGCTGTTCAAATCATGCATTCAGTTATTGTTTGTTTTTCTGGAAAGTGATGAAATTATACTGTACTATCCTGCACTGTACCATACCATACTATACTACACTAGCTATAATCCCCAGGAAAAAATTATGGACCAGTCTTATTAGAAGATTCTTGATGTCTATAGGAATAAGCGTAATTGTAAGATATCAGTAATCTTAATCATGTATAATCTAGCCTTTTCTTCCCCCTTCAAATTTATATTGCTGAGTTAGGTCTTCATAGTCAAGGTCTGGAACGTTAGGTCTTCGACAGTTCAAAGCAAGCGCTATTCCTACTCCCTTCTCTCCTCTGATGTACCACAGGCTTTCAACAAATTACTATGGTCATGGCTTAAAGGCTAGACTTCCTTCAAAGTAACTGGTAATGCCTCTACTTCCATGAGTGAAACAACATTCGTTCCTTACAAAGTCTTCTCCTAGAGGTTGACTCCTGGTGAGAGACAGCAGAGTATGCAGAGCCAGAATGTAAGTACTTAAGAGAAATCAAAACTAAACAACTCAGATTGCTCTTTTCTTCTATGGACCTAAAAGTTCTTTGCATTTTTAGTCAAAATCACGTGTACCTCTACTGATAATTTGCTTTGTCCTGTCTTTGTACACAGTTCTACAAAATTACTTTTTCAAGGGCTTTGGATCTTGAATACTTCGAAGGTAAAAAATTTTAGCAAGATTGATTAATGTCATATTCTGAAAACAGAGGCTCAAGTAGGATATTTTCCATTACTACAGTATAACCGTACTGCTCTTCCTGTCACCTTTCTCCCACAACAACTTTTCTGTTTCTTCAACATCAGAGCTTGCAATGACATGCAGGCAACAAAAGAGATGTAAAGGAAAACGAATAGAAAAGTTCTCAGGTGCATGCACATTTTTTCATGTGTATATGCCTCATTTAATTAAAAAATATTACAGAAGTAAAAGAATAATTACCTACAAACTTACCACAGGAAACAAAACACTTTCTTTCAAAATATAAAAGGTCTAATTTCCTGATGAATTAATTACCAAAGTCAAATCTAAAAAAGTTCATAAGGTTCTTAAGGATAGACTGGAGTTTTCTATTTATGTTTTATGCACCAATGAAAGATACTAGAATGACAACCACAGATTTTAACTCCCTCATTTTTGGAAAAAAATTTAAAACTATAATTTCCCGTATATTAAATAATTTCTCTTAGCTGGTCAGGACTATCAACTTCTTTCGTACACTGTAAGACTTCATACCAATATTAGACTGTAACAGAATTCAGTTATTATTGATCTGAAATGAATATGAAGTACTATTCTGGATATAGGGTATTCTCAATAGCTAAAACAGACTATATTACACACACTTTAAAGATGTCCACAGAATTTGTTCATTTAATTCTAGTCATCAAACATATTTGCTTCTAAGCTACCAATGCATAGAAAATGAAAGCTGCGGAGAAGAATACTAAATTATAATATGTTAATTCAAAGGATGCTCCCGAAGGGAGCTCTGCCAGTTTTAGACTTGGGTTATAACACCAAGCCTCATTCTTTTCTCAGAGGATTTCATGCATTTTAAAGAGTGTTATGTCGATACATGCCTCAGGAGGAGACTGAGTAGAGCTGATGTAAATACACCTGCTTTTTTATCTGCTTTCTCACCAAAGAATGAAAATCTAGGGTAGAGGATATGAAGGATACAAATGGAATGCTAAACATAAGGAAAGCAAATTGAATGGCATCATATTTCCTAATTGCCAGACTTGATCTTAATCCATTTCAGACTGTTCTTAGTTGAGAGATACAACCCAAGACTTACTTGTCAATCACAACATTCACTAGCTTTGGAGGTTTTTTTACTTCCCTAACTTAAACTAAATGAAAAGAACAGGCCCACAATGTCTTGTTGCAAATCCTTTACAGACTGAATTGAGAAAACAGGTTTGTCTTGATTTTGACAGTGCTATTGAGATATGTTTCTTCCTGTGCTTGCTAACTGTTTGACTGTTTGATGTGTATTGAAACTGGTGTATTTAAAATCGGAAAATTGATATATATCTGTATACTTCATACATTATCCCACTTGTTACAGGTGTGCTTCTGAAGTACTTAGGGAAGCCCAACTAGAAAATATTCTCATTAACAAAAAAAAAAGGCAAAAAGCCCAACACCTCTCAGCACTGAAAGCAGACTATTTTTTTGCTTTTTTTTTCCTAAAAAAGCAATGCTTTAACTTAGTATTACTGTCTTTTTCATGTTGTAGTTGAAGCAATTTAATGATATGTCAGCCTTCTCTAAAGATAACGAAAGGAAGATTTTTAAAAAATTTATGGTAATAAATTAGCACCTTTTCATTGCGTAACAGACACAGAATTACGTTAACAGACTAAGCCATTATGAAATCTAATATACTGGAACCAGTTTCCACAAAACATGCTTGGGGTTCTGCATTAATACGTATTCCATATTTAGAAGAAATTAACATAGTTTTCCTCAGCAAAACAGTAATATTTTGTAGAATAGATTCAGAAAGATTTGTGGCTATTTATAAATTAAATTTCACTCGAAAATAAGAATCAGATTTGCATACAAGTGTATGACATAAAGGGATAAATATTCAATTCCAGTGACAGTGATCTAAAGTTCTAACATAAATATCTTTTTGTACTTGTAAAATGACTTCTGAAAACTATCTACATGCTACATGCTTCTCAAAAGTCTACCTTGAGAAAATCAGAGATGGTTTCCTCATTGGTACTTTAAATATGTTTTAAATATATAAATCCAAATAGTGTATTTATTTCTCTGCAACAAGCAGTCATTAGGTAGATTAATTGGTTAGGCAGATGTGCTAAGATACATGTTTAATGTCAACAATTATATTAGCACTTGAGAATGTGGTCTTAGTTCTAGTCTCCTTAATTTAAAAAGTGCCAATTTACTCCATTAGCACTCACCTACAAAGGTAAGCAGAATCACCAGCAAAAGGATAAGGGCACAGATGCAAGGAATCAGTATTAGGAGCAAAAGTCGAAGGAACTTGGCTGAAGCCAGTTTCTGAGAGCAACCATCCCCCATATTATCCTCATCTGTTCCTAAGACCTGTAAAACAAAAAAGCAACTTTATCATTATGGTGTCAATTAGTAATTCCTATGTTTTCAATAGCAGTCCTTCCTCCCTATTACACAGAACAGCTACATGATTTAAATATATGCTATAAATGGCTTATAGATTCTTAATGACAAGTTGTACGTAAACTTTCTTTCTGGCAGACAGCCTAGTGTAATCCATATAATTTAGTTAACTTTATCCAATATCCACAGACTTACAGCTTCATTAAAATTTCTAAGCATTTCTGATGAACTGGAAGTTGGATAGGCATTTCATTTGAAACAAATGGAAAATACATAATAAATTTAAGCAATAAAGCTAAATACAGTTTTATTTACAATTAAAAATAATCCATTACTAATTATTCAAGAGCTCCAGATTCTTAAGTTTCTCTTATTAAGGAATTAAGGAACTATCATAATCTTTGTTTTAAGTGACAACAGAAGTGTTAAGGACCATTCCACTTATTATGCTCAATAATGCTGTCTAATTTTTTAAGTACTTAACAAAATTATAACTTATTACAGTATTCTGTAGAGTTTGCAGCTCATATTTTCTGTTCTATGAATCAACAAAGAAGAATGAAGAAAAATAATTTTCTGAATTCAACTGATCTGCACAAAGTACAAAAATTCAAACCTTTGCAAAAACCTAAACGTGTATTTTATATATTTTTTTAAACCTAGCTCCATTAAGACTATGATCTCATATACTGGAGAAATGTCATACTTTTTAAACAGAAACAAAAACAAAATTCCAAGTTATTATTTAATAGCAAGATTGAAGGTGTTATGAGGTCAATACATTTTTATTTGAAATTGACTAAAAAATAAATTTTTCCCTGTGATAAGGTGAAACTAGGTGATAGGATTATTAATTCCAGACAATGCCTTCCCAAAGGATGACTAATAGTTTATCCTCTTTGTCAGGAAGATCAATCACATCAAAGTTGGTGGTGACAGGAACCAAGTGTAAATGCATCCATTACCCTGACAGCTTCTCCCCAAAGAACCTCAAGTGACTGAGGTCTACAACATGCATAGTATTAGTTTTGTAAATGTCAGTCTCTGTGTGTTATCTGGCTCTGCTTTGCGTGCCTTTCTGTAAAGAGCAGGTTGTCAGACTGACTGGCACAAATGGAAGTTGAACTATATCTTAATTCAGTAGAATATCATACCCACATGAACATAGACTCCTCATGAAGCAGAGCACACTATCCTTTGAAATCATGATATGCTGTAAGAAAGAACCCATTTCTGCAGGACCAGACAACAAGGAGCAGGACCATCGTTACACAGCCCAGCGATTAGGGCACGTGGAAGCTGATTCTTAGTTTCTTTAAGACAAACAAATATAAGATCCAGCTCATTTTCCTAAAGGAATGACTCCCAGCCAAGATGCACTCATTGCAAATCCCAAGCAAAAGCGCCCAACTCTATCCAGTGTAATACTAGGTAAGTTCTGACCCATGACTCCCCAAAGAGTTTGTCTTAGGAGTAAAAACCTTATCAATAAATAACAAAATTATAACCATCCTTACTTTTAGACTCTTTTTGTGGGGAAGGGGGTGATGTTGAATATTTTGGAGGTCCAAGAGATCTTAATAACCTCAAGCACAAGTGTATAACTGAGAGCAGTGTTATCACCACTGTTGTACAGATGCCTCAGAGTTAACCTAGGAGAAACATTAAATGTGTGCCAGTTAAAACAGTGAGCTTCTTGTGTCTATGTGAGGAATGTTTTCTAAAGTCTACTGGCATTGAGAATACTACTTATTTTACACAATTGTTCAATACTAAAAGAGAACACTGAATGTTTTCCATCTTGTCAACTCCTGGAAGCAACAATAAATCTCAATCTTTGCATCAACAACTTATTGCCCCAGATTTTAAAATGGACTGTTGTATCCAAATTTGCTTTCAGTGACTGCTCAAGAAAAGAATGTTGCATTGTGATAGACGTGTTTGTCTAAACATCAAGAATTGCTAGTTCTGTAGAACCGTGTCCTAGTTAGAGCAGCGGGGACAAGTTCATCACCGTGTAGGTGTAACCCAAACTGTGTATTCTACATCCTCTATGTCATTTCCCAGGAACTATTAACAATAGACCATTTCCAGCAGCTGCCCAGAGCACACCTGACCCCTTAACACCACAAGCTGGGTGTTAAGAAGCCTGTGAGATAGGAGGATGTCCCTATCCTCACACCAATGACTCAGGTGTGATAACTCCCCTCCGGGAAGTCATTAGCACCTCCACACCCAGCCTGAGGGGTCGTGTCTGCTAATGGGCCACCAAGGTTTCCAAAAACATCTCACTACTCACAATCACCTATTGTGGAACTCCCTGCCCTATGGGAGGTACTGGGCATTCCCACTCAAATCTGTGTATATAATCTTGGGGTCTTGGGACTTCTGGGCCCACTTGTCTGATCCAGAGGAGGACCAGAACCTCGACCAGACTGCAACCACCACTCTCAACCAGACTGCAACCAGCACTCTCACCAACAGGTCTTCCTTTCCTTTTACTTTGGACTCAGGGGGACCACATGGGGCTCAGCACAGGGGCCAATGAACACCATTCTGTTCATGCCCCAGGGTACTGGGTTATACATCTGCGTTTTGTGGGTTAAAACTAATTGTTTGTCCGTATAATTGTATTTATTGTATTATTTTTATTAAATTCTAACTCTGACTTATAATCTCTTTTGAGTTGGGTTCATTTCTCCTGCCTGTTTACCTTTAAACCAGCACAAACAGCAAAGTAAATATTTATAGGCAGCTGAACAGCATGTTGTATTTTTCCCTTCTACAGGAAAAGACCTCAAGAAAAACACTAAATCTATTTAAAATCATCACCAGCGACTTGACAAGCATAACCTTAATTTTTCCAGTTTTCCAATTTCGCCAATTTTCCATCACTTGAACAGCTACATTAGTTTTTTTCCATCAGTTCATGTGATGAACATGAAAATAAAACTAGAGATGGTGCTATTGGTTCCTACACCTTCAATGAGAGTTTAAGAAACACAAATGCATTAATTATACCTACTTTTTATATATTCCCCGATAGTGTTTCTTTTCCTCTTGCTAATACACAAATATATGCACCAGTTTAAAGAGCTCTAGTATGACAATGGTATCTGCACAAACTTCAGACATGCTCTGTTCTCTCAATTCTAATAAATAATGGAATAGAGGCACAAATAATGGACTAAAGGCATAAATAATAGAATCTTCAGAGAAAAATGGGCCTATAGAAGGAAACAGAAGTGCAACATTCTTATTCCCTTGGCTCACTTCAAGCTTCTACATTAGTGGTGTGGTGGGGGGAAACAGTTTTCCCCCTTAGAGTTATAAAATGGTAAACCCCCAGGGGGTGGTGACCCTTGAGGTTTGACCCAATCAGCGCTCCTGCAAAATATAAACATCACTAGACCGGAAAAGAAAGGTAGTGGTAGTTGTAGAGAGGTGGCCATGTTCTGAAGCCACGAGGAAGGGGCCCGGAGCCCCACTGGGGGCTGGGCTCCCCCCCAGCCCTGGCTGGGGGGCTACAGGGACTTGGAACAGTGTTAAGCTGGACTATGTATCTGTAGCTAAGAGCTGGGGGAAGTTTCTCCACTGTGAGCAGCAGCAGGAACAGTGTACAGAGAAACGGTGGCAGAGAGCCAGAAGATAAGAACTGGAGGAGCAGCAAACAAGCATGCAGCCGAGCAGGAAGACACAGAGTTGTCTGAAGGAAAGAGAGCCAGCACCAGAGACAGCAGAAGTAAGTTCTACAGAGAGAGAGTTTTGGGGTAAGAACTGCACCAAGCACCCCAAACTCCTTTGAGATACCTCCTAAAATGGAGGGGGTGGACTCCTACTGAATGGAAGTCCTAAAATGCAGCAGCACTGCTCAAAGAGGAGCTAAGAAGCTCAAGTGTCCTGGGAAGCTGGACCGGGACAGCCGAAGGAATGTGGAGGGGGTGACCTTGGGCCCCCCCTCGCTGCTGCTGAGAAGCTAGCAGCCTGAGATCAGAGCACAGGAGCTCTGATAGAACTCTCGAGGAAAAGGCCTTCAACTGAAAGCTGCCCAAGACATTCTGAGTCAGGGGTGAATCCCCCGAGGAAGGGACCTTCATGGGGGTCTTACACCCCATGATATGACGTGGTGAAGCAAGTCTTGTCCCTGCTACGCAGCCCACAGAAAAGAAGACCCTCGTTTGGAGACGAAGGGCTGAGGGGCTTGGACTCCCCTCGTGTGTATTGGCAAAGATCCAGCTACAGCTGCTGCATGGAAGAGAGAAAGAGACATTGCTGCCCTAGAAAGACTTCCTGCTCAGAGAGAGAAAAGGGTCTTTTCCTTCTTCCCTCCTGGACTTTTATTTGGAAGGGAGAAGAGATTTGATCCATTGTAAATACTGTTTTGTCATGGTAGAGATAGTTGAGATTGTGTATGTAGTGTACTATAATATTTATTTGTACAGTGTATTGTAATATATCCCTTTCCCCCATTTTGAGTCTCGTGTGGTGTCTGGAAAACCCATCTCACACTGGGTTGAGATGTGGGAGGGAGGCTAGAACTAGGGAATTGGATTTTAGGGCTCTCAAACCATGACAGTGGCCAAGATAAGAAACCAGTCTCCCTCAACTCTCTCTGTAGTTTCTCTGATTCATTCTCTAAGTCTGTAAGACTGAGGTGCTGGGTAGATACACATTTATCTTTCTTTCCAAGGGAAGGACAAGAAGACCTAGAATTAGAATCCTTGTGGGCCCACTGAAAGAAATCAACCCTAAATGCTGGAGATTATAGCATAAAATAGATTTAGCACAGCACTGGACCAAAACATACTCTCCATACTTGAAGAATACTGGTGCAAGTTCTCTTTCTACCACTGTTGTTAGAAAACTTGATTTAAGAAATATTTTTCTGAATTTAATACTGTGTATACTATAGTTAGGAAATGTCAGCATTTCATTTTTAAGGCAACAGGTCATTTGCTTTTAATACA